GTCGGGAGCGAAGCGCTGCCCGGGGGTCCCTGTCGGCACTGCGGGTTGCGGCGATAAACGCGCCCGGACACAGCTCTAGCCCCGGTGCGGGTGACGGCGCTGCCGAGCACACGGAACGGGCAGAGGGAGAGGAAGGTGAGAGCTGTCAGGGCTCCTCTGCCTCGGCCCGAGCAGCGACATCGTCCGCTCCGTGCGCGGCACTTAACGGGCAGTTCCCGGAGCCCTTTGGCTGAACGTGAGCGATGCGACATGACTCAGCCCTGGGTTTTATTGCCCAGGTTGTTGTTGCTTTACGACAGGAGTTAGAAAAGCTCCCCGGGTCACCTCTTTAGGGTACGTGCTGATGGAGATGTGTCGCTGCGGAGTTAGGGGATAAAGTGGATCTCGGCAGTGGAGCTAAAGCTTCAAAGTTAATACTGCAAACATCGGGATATCTTTGGCTTGGCTAAATTGTGCAAGAGCAGCAATTTCCCGTGGCTGTAAAATGAGCAGTGCGTGATAAAATCGAGGTGGTGGTAGGAGGAATAATCTCACCGAACAAGAATGTATGAAAAGGGAAGTGCAACTTTCTCCTGTTTCACGTGGCATTTCAAAACACATCTAGAAGGGGAAGGTGTGGGAAAGAACTGGGAAAAAATTGAAAACTACAATATTTATTACAATTTAAAATAGAACTTAAGAAACCAGTGCAGCTGCACCTGCACTTAGTGGAGCTCACTGCTAGTGTGATGGACACAGGAGCTGAGTGTACGCAGAGGGCAAAAGGAAGGTTTCTCTGCAGGCAAGAGCATTTCTCCATTTTTCCAAATGGGACTTGGAATTAAAGTTATTCCAGGGGAACATGGTGGGCTGACACTGCCCCCACACTACCACAGCTGCAGCCTCCTCCAAGTAAGAGGATGAGGCATCTCTAGATCTGTCCAACCTTGACTGTGGCATCATTTACTGAAATAAGAAATCAGGATCTGCTTTGTATACATACATGTGACAATCAGTCCTGGCTACCTAGATGTTTGTTTGCATTAGCAAATGCCTACTGTGGGAAATTCCCTAAAAAGTACCATAAGGATCAGCCAGTTGCTTTTTCCATTCAATTCGAGTGAGTTGCTATATTCATACTTTCTAATTTGGGCAGGGAATGATAAAACAAACACAGGCACAGAATTAAGAAAGACTAAGGATTACATTAAACTGACCTTGTCAAGACAGACACCTACCAGCCTGGCACAAAAGTGGTGGCTCCTGCACAGTATACAAATACAACAGAAATACAATACAAAGCCATGTGCAAAAGCCACCAAAAGTCACTGCCAGAGACAGAACAGAGCAGAGCTGCCCTCCCAGGAGTGTTTAGGTACACTTACTTGGGAGACTTCTTTTAAGGCTGATTGCAGATTTACTAAAATAAGTAATCGAATAGAAATGTTCCACACTGGGCATCCACTTAAACTTTTCAAACCTCATCTATGAAACTACCTCAAAAGACACAGAAAAGGAAAATAAAAGTGTTTTTTTCATATAAAAGTAGTACAATTCAGACTGGTTCTCCCCTAAACTTTCTCCATCTCAGTCTCTGGAGATGGGGCTTCAAGTGGAGGTAGGTGTTGTGTCAGGAATGGCCTCTGCTTTCTCCATGGGAAGTCAAATATGTTTGAGCAGATCTTAATTTTCTTGGGGGCAGATGGGAATTGGAGACACTGCTCCACATAGAGGAGACACAGGCAGCTGGTAGGAGTAAAGCCGGGGCAGAAGTGATGCTGTGCCTGGGAATTGGTGCATGAATTCCTATGCTTGGCTGGACAAAGGAGCAGAGCCTGTGGGGAAAGGGCAGGAAGCCTGCAGGCAGCTCTCCCCACTGCCCCAGCCTCTGTCTCAGTGTTGGACCTGGCTGAGGGTTGAGAACAACTAGGCAGGGGAACAAGCTGTACCCAGGTAGTGTGGCCTCACAGTCCTGCCTGCTTGCAAAAGTGAGCTGGGCAAACTGGTGAGCTCATGTCTCTCTGCCTGTCAGCTCAGATATGCAACCTTGCTGCATGTAGGGTAATATCAAGGCAGGCAACTGCAGCCACAGAGTTCTCATTCTGAAACCTTTCCAGCATCCTCCTTTCCCTTCGTTCCAATTCTGACAGCAGTCTGGAGGAAGGAGAGCACAATGTATAACTAGGCGTGGTGGTAGAAGGCTGTTTTAAAGTAACCTGTAGGAAAGTGCTGCATATTTATCTTCCTTAAAACCCTATGGGGTGATAGTTAAATCACTTGGCCTTTATAGATAGGTCAAACTGGGTTTTCTTGTAGCATCAGAAGGTGTAACTCCCTTGGCAAACGCCTGCATAGATTTGGCTCTTCTGAGCAAACAAACACACAAAAATCTTTCCAGCAAAACCCTTCGTTCCAATTCTGACAGCAGTCTGGAGGAAGGAGAGCACAATGTATAACTAGGCGTGGTGGTAGAAGGCTGTTTTAAAGTAACCTGTAGGAAAGTGCTGCATATTTATCTTCCTTAAAACCCTATGGGGTGATAGTTAAATCACTTGGCCTTTATAGATAGGTCAAACTGGGTTTTCTTGTAGCATCAGAAGGTGTAACTCCCTTGGCAAACGCCTGCATAGATTTGCCTCTTCTGAGCAAACAAACACACCAAAATCTTTCCAGCAAAACCTTTGCACAGCTCCCTGCTATCAGCACATTTCCTGTTTACACATTTTTACTGAGTGCACAAACTGGTGGGCAGCATGGTCACCTACTGCCTGCCCTTTAACCAGATGAAACCATAACCATCCCTTCCTTGAGTTTCAGCAAAAGAATGAAAAACCTGGGTTTTGACATGTGCAGCCACTCTCCTTCCCAGTGACCCAGATTTTCTTTGTCCAGCAAGTCAACTTGGTTTGTTTTGTATAAGAAAGACAGCACAACACCAGCTTCATGCTCTAATTCCAATATTAGTGCACTTTGCTGCTATTTGTGTCACCCACCCACAGTTATGCTGTATGAACAGAAGTTTTGCAGCTGTCAAAAATGCAAATATTTAATGGAGCATTACACAGTAACAGTACCTAATTTACCTACTTCTGCCACTATACTGAAACAATCTATATTGGGTTTATTGCTTATTTAAACAACGGAGACACTAAAATCAATCATGTAACACTCTTGTTTGCTTTTTGTTTTAGCTACAGATTTCTGTTACTGCTCCTTCATGTCCTGAGAGCTGAAGGTAAGTTCTGAACACTTCAGTGAAAAATGAAGCTGCCCTCCCTTTAATATGTTTGGCCAAATACACAAAGTACTTGTAAAATGTACAATATAAACACCTGTGTATTTTCAGCAAGATACTTAGGAATTCCTCAGTGTGAAACGTTTCTTTGACATGCATCAGGGAAAGAAGAAACAGTCAATTTCTATCAGTTTTGCTGTGGAGAACAGCAAGGGACCTTATGGATGCACTTGCTCAGATTGCTTGGCTTGCTTCAGAGACATCCCTGTGTACTTAACCTCTGTCAACAAAAGGCCTTAGAAGATAAGCAGATCTAACATGCCTTGATACTCATGACTAGAATTATACATCTGTCCTGATCAAGCAGCCAATATTAGTAAGTCTTTTGGTACAGTTGCAAAATATCTCTTGCAAAACAAAGGTAGGGTTAAATAACATCACCTGGTGATGTTTAAATGTTTTTAGAGTTGGCTTTCCTCTGTTCTTGCTTAATCACTGAGAAGAACCTCAACAAAGTCATCCAGGAAACTCCCTGGCCCCAATATCAGGACAAACCATACCAGATTCAGTCCCAATAGAGGCTGGCTGGCCTGTTTCTGGAGAATGCCAGTGATGGAGGTGCCCCTGTCTCGACAGGGCATTGTTTTTCCTGCTGTTACAAGGGGTTTCCCAAAGTCTGAGCCACAGCATCTGTGTTGTGGCTCAAGCCTGTTACTGCTTGTCTTACCCAGTAGATGATCAGGGCCTGGAGAACATCCTGCCTTCCTCCCTGTGAGTACTGCATCTGCCTCAGTGCTATTTTTAAGCCAGGGAGCCCAACTCAGATGAGTCAATGAGGTATTTCTGAGCCCAGTGCACCCTCATAAAGACGTGTCTCCTTTTAACATTGCCACCTCCCTCTGCACTGTTTCTGTATTCCCAAACCTTTGCTCCTGTCATCTTTGTTTCCCTAATCCATCCACCCACAATTTCCTCTTCCCACAGCTGTAATCTCTCCCATGCCTGACTCCCTCTCGCCTCCCAGCCCAACATTTGCAATGCACACGCTGCTTTGGCCACAGCAACCAGTTGCACCAGCAAGGTTTTGGCTGCTGGGGTGGAGGAGAGGTGGTGTATACTCTCAGCAGTGAGGCTGCAGGCAGAGGTGCCCTGCCCTTTTGGACTCGCTGATCTGTGCTTTCTGCATCACTCATCAGCCAGCTCACACCTTCACCTTGCTCACCAAGAGGAGAGCTGCCTTTCTCACATTTGGAAGGCAGGAAAAGTGTTCTGAAAGCCAGATAGGGCCCTGATCTACCTCAAGCGACACTGAGAGGTTGTAAATGTCTAATGAATGTGTCACTGGTTGGATCTGGGCATGCTGTTTTGCCAGCTGGGTGTATTTGTTGAGAGGGTGTCACTGATGTGATTACTATGACATACCTCCTTGGAAAAGCACTTCTTTTACTCCCCTTCTTAATTTTGGGAGTCTCAAAATAATGGTAGCACTCTTTTCCTTATCAGTGTTTCCACTTCTTGTGATTTACCTGGCATTATTTGGCATTTTTTTCTAACTAAACAGAAAAGTGATTATTAAAGCATTAGGACTTGGATATGTGTCTGCAGTCAGTGGGCAAAGTGAAACATGCAGGTATCTATGGGGCTGGGAATGCTTGGACTGGAGAAAGAAATAAGCAGAAGGTTTAATGTTTTAAGACAAATAGACATGGAGAGAATTAGCCACTGGCAAGTCAGGGGGTAGGAATGACTCTGAAGTGAACACACCCATCTGCCTGTTGTAAATACTAATAATGGAGTCCACATGTGGTAGAATATATTTGAAAATAATTACCTTTTTCTCCCACATAACCTCCCTTTTTTTCTCTCTTTTAATCTCCTAGTTACTGCAGCAGAGAAGAAGAACATCATCAGTAAACCTGGAGACAACGCTACACTAAGTTGCATTTACAACAAAAGAGACTTGCCATTAAATAATATCCGTGTATATTGGCAAATAGCTGATGATTACCAAGAAAAGTGTTCAGTTGTACATGCACTGATCGCAGGTCAAGACAACAACAGTAATCAGTGCATTCACTTCAAAAACAGGACTCAGTTATTCTGGGATCGATTGGATAGTGGTGATTTTTCTCTACTACTACTAAACGTCAGCCAGAGCGACGCACACACGTACAAATGTTTAGTGCAGGAGAAAAAGCACTTTGCCACACTGGTTCACCAAGAAGAAATGGTTCTCAGTTTGGCGGGTAAGAACTTGTGTCATTTGCATGTATTTGCCCAAATTCTCATTTCAGCTTTTCAAGTTCCCACCCTTTCAATATTGTATTTAAGCACACCCTTAACCTCTAAATATACTTCAGCCCTTTGCTGAAATAATATCTGCTTAATTTAATGTTACAGACCAGGAATCTAAAGCTGAGAGAAGACCTGTAACAACTGTTTAGCCAGAGTGTGTTTCTCTTCATCTTGTTTTTCATCAATGTAAGGGCTCTTGCATGTGACTGGGTGACAGCAGCTAAAGAAGTTGCTTTCTTCCTTGGGGTTTGGCTTTAGCTTTCTGCCCTTCCAGTAATTCTCTCAGCTCTCTGGCTTACATACCAAACCTGCAGCTGTTTCCCACTGGAGTCATGAGGGTTTTGTGAAACCCAGGAGTTCTGCTTCAGAACCCACGTCAAAATTTTGTCTTTCCAATATGTATCAAAATGTTGATGACTATTTCTTTTTTTCTTGCTCTCCAGCTAGTTATAGTCAACCAATACTCAGTGGACCAATAAAAAACAGTAACAGTACTGGAGAGGAGGTGACTTTCAACTGCAGGTCTGGCAATGGATACCCAGAGCCCCATATTTATTGGATAAATAGAATGGACAACAGCTTCCTGCAACCATCAGGCATAAACATCAGCCGCCACCCTGATGGCACTTACAGCGTTGTTAGCACACTGAAGGTGAAAGCCACTTCTAACATGCAAATAGAGTGCTCTGTAGAAAACAGAATGCTGCAGGAAAATCGATCAGTCAACTGTAAGTCCCTTTGTGCTGCTTCATGTTTTCTAGATAGCAGGAACATCCATTAGTATTGTCTCTGTCTGTACATACTCACTAATGAGGCACACACATCAGTTCAGTAGTTCCAGAAAGTGCTGACAAGAGCTCAGGTTTTATTTCAAGCTAGTTATGCTTAGCCATGGACTTTGTTTACTTCTTTCACACTGAAGTGAATACCCCATCAAGTGTATTATGACAACAGCAGTGAGAAGCTGTTGCATCCAAGGCAGTCACTGGGATTTACCCTTTGGCTCCTCAGGAACACAATGACTTGGGGAGTTAAGCTGTTTCTCAGGGGGCACCATACAGCAGATCATTTCTGACCCCCTACCCAACTGCTTTGCAGCACTCAGGTTTACCTTTTACTCTGCCTAGTTTCAAAGTTCTGTTTTCAGTCTCCAAAACTCAATTTAATGCCGTGTACTATTCAAAGTAGGCCTGCAGCAAAAGGCTGATACTAGCCCAACAGAACAATACACCTAATAGCACAAGTATAATGTGCTATTTATTGCTGATGTGAGTGATCGGTAGTAAATGCAAGTATTTACTCACTCAACACTTCACAAAACCAGAAAGCTATTGAGTAAAAAGCTATAAAAATTCTGTATCTATATTACCACTGCTGGAGTTCACCATTTCCACAAAGCTGTGTAGAGAAGCTGTCTGGAGTAGGAATAGCTAAGTCTGGAAGTGGCTGTTTGATCTCATTGCTGTTCCTGGTCCTGCCATCAGCCACACCTTTCTCTAGCCACTTTCTGCACCCTGGTGCAAGGAGGTTTGATTGTTTGCATCACTGTAGCTGGATACCCACAGTTAGCTTACCTGAGCACTCTAAGCAATCACATACTCTGGACTTGACAGCACTGGTCCCACAAACACAGGCAAATGATATAAACTATTTCCAGGAACAAAAACTGCACATGAGCAAAAGTTGCACAGTGGAGTGTTTATGTGGTAACATCCCCCACTGTCATCCCAGATTAAAGGAAAACTACGTAACCTTGTCATTAGCTTCCTAATGGTATTCTGTCATATTGTCTTCTGGGGGAAAAGACCTTTATATTGTTATTTTTTAATTTGTTTTTTAAAGCACTACCACACCTGAAACAGTAAGAGATGTGATTTGAAACCCTCAGTCTGCAGCAATCGAAGATTCCTCACAAACTTCAGGGAAACAGATTTTCTGAATATCATCAGATTTACCTTATAGATTCCTATAGGTCTGTTTTCTGCTGAGTCTACAGACTCAAACATAGTCTCCTAAGGCTGGCAGGAAAGCAGGGGAAAAAAAGGGATGCAGTATAATAACAAGGAAGAGTAAACTAGTATTGTATTATTAGACAGTGTAAGCTGGAGATGTGTCTTGCTCAGAAGGAAGGAATCACCAGAACCACAGTGATATGAAAAGTACAAATATTTAGCCCTTCACAATTTTTTTGTGCATGTGAAATGTGGTGAAATATTTGCTTGGTATGAAATGTGACGATTTGCACCTTACATCCCTTTTCTGTTTTCTTCTAGACACACAGGAGAAGCAAAGTGATGATTTTAATGCAGAAATTCATGGAAAAGGCCGAGGTGCTGAAGCAGCTGGGATTGTTTCTGTTATCATTCTGATAGGTCTTCTAGCTGTTGTAATCTGCTGGCTATGGAAACGGAGATCCTCTAAACCAGTGTCCTATACAGGTAATGAGGCTCTTCGTTTGCATGACCAAATCTTAAGAATTCTTTTTCTTTTGCCAGATTAAATCTTACCCTGCACATTGCTAGAAGATATGACTAAGCTGCCTGCACACAATGGCAGGAAATCATGCTGTTATCAAAAACCTGGCATGCCCTGGGGAGAACACGTAGCACCCTAGGGCATGTTATTCTTTACAGTTTTCTACTGTTCTGTCTGAGCCTCACAGGAGGCAACTGCTGGATGTGAGATTAACTCAGACTTTGTGCCTGTTCAGGCCATAGTTTGTCAGCTGTGATCCCTGCAGGCTGTTTCTGGACAGATAGGGGGGATACTCCTCCATGGAACAGGACTGGAGTCCATAGCCCACTCTGCTTAGCACAGTCTAAAGCAGAAATTGGATGATAACTCAGTACTGAGAGCTTTAGAGTCACTGGCTGGACAGTTAAGGTTCAGGATTCCAGTGGGATCAAGCAGCTTTCTACAGATTAGAAACAAAGCTTGTCTCACTGTCACATGTGTACCCACATGTGGCTCTACGATACTTGGCATGACAGAACAAAAAGTAGCTCTAAAATACACCTTGTGAACCAGACTGAGTCTGCTGATGTATCTCAGCACTTGCTGTATTTTGCAGCTATACACGAGCTAACATCTAAGAAAATGCAGGCAGGGACAACCACACATGGGCAAGAATAATCCACATTTTCCATCCCAGCTCTCTCTCTCATGGCTAGCAAGTCCAGGTGCTTCAGAAAAGAGCAGGAGAAAGCAGGGTAGTGATGTTGTCCAGCATCTGCAGCAGCTGTTCTAGAAATCATGTCCTTTCTTCACAAACAACTCAAGAGTCATCCAGGACTCATCCCAAGACATGGAGCAGGACCATTGCTTCAAGCCCAAAATCTGTCTTTCCTGAAATGATAACCTGGGTTGTAAGCAAACAGAGTTTGGACTGCATTTTGCTGTTCAAAGAGCATTTAGCACATTGAACCTCAGCTTTGGCAGACGTTGCTTAATATTAATCTCGTTTGACTGAAGACTATAGTTACCTCTCCTACATACTTAAACCAGTGCATTTGTTTCAACAGATGTCCCACCAAATGAAGACAGAGGAGGACACAACTGTAAGTATTAAAAAATATATTACTGTATTTGTCTCAGTGACTTAACTTCATAGCTGCAGTACTCAAGTCCAGCACAAAGCTTTTAGATTAGACTTGCTTGATGTTACAAACCCAAACATACAAAGTAGTAGCTCTACTTGTTTCTTCTCTCAGCCCTTTCCTTGAGTGTTGCCAAAGGCAGCCTGAGATTCTTGGTTCCCAGAAGTTCCTTCAACAGTTCAGGCCAAAGGACAAGACAAATCGAAAGGGGACATGGAGTACACAAGCTCAAGCCACCACCTCCCCTCCTGTTCTACAACTATGCTGAAACTCCTACTGCCATCAAGACAGAGCCAAACTTGAAAAATCTGGCTTAAATGCTGATTTTCAAGTCTGGACAAGACACTGACCACTTAGCACTTCATATCACTTCAGCTCATATCATCAAATGATTTACTGCCTTTTTAGGCACCACATCCTAGAAGGTCTTTAACTGGGATACAGGAGCATCATTTGCTTGATGTCTGTGAACCTGAGTCTATTATACACACAAGCACTCTCCTTTTCTAGAAAAAAAATTGCATACTTCATACCTTCAACGTGCTTATACTTCTTATAAGCAAGAATGCAGTATTGTAGGCCAGCTGGTTTACAAATTCATATCTCATTTATAGTGGGGGGAAAAAATAATAATGAGGTTGGGGGAGATGAAGACATATACAAAAGCAAACTCAGCACAAGAGCACAGAGAGAGTAAAATATCTGCCTATTTTATATCTCACTTATTAGTTTCTACTGAAGCAAATGACTCTTGCCTTTGTTTCTCTGCAGAACAGGTAGAAAATTCTGTGGTTTCACCAAAACTCTTAACAGTTAAAACATAGCTTGCCATAGGAGATGCTGTGAATGTACTGATTCATAGTATCAAGCAGACACAAAGTAACCCTTAAAGAACTTCTAGAATTTCTTTGGTGGTCATGCAAAGTGGGTTAATGGTCAGTTACACACAACCCCAGTCTGATCCCCAACATTTGTGTTTGCTAAACACCAACAGACATTGCAGTGTTTGCTCTAGAGCATAATGTAGAGACAAAGATGGTTTTCTTCCTTAAAATAAAGAGGCAGTTTCTCCTTCTGTTCCTCTGAACTGCATTAACATAACACAAGCAACTCATTTAGAGTCAACTTTTTCTTCTCCAGACTTACATACAAAAGGCCCTATTTGATTAGATCCCTGGACTTAGCTCATAAGTAGAAAATTCTCTGTGACATAAATAAGAGTAAATATTTATCTTCTCTTGAAGATGCCTGTACAGCATGGTTTGTTCATTAAGGACAAAGCAAGGACACTTGCCTTCCAGACAGTCTGTTCCTTGGCATGTCTCTGCACCATTTGTGGGACAGCAGCTTTGATGCCTCACTACTATCAGAAGCTGTCCCACATTTGAAAACCATTTTCTGCCAACAGAGCCCTGTAAGGCACAGAAGGCAGTGTCTTTTGGGCATCCTGATTTAAGGGCAACTTGGATTAATACCAGAGAAATGAGAATGATCTAGGGAATGTGATCTCTGATGAAAGATTGGTTATGTTTGTTTAAGCTGGAGAAGACAAGGCTGATTAAAGACACAATAACCCTCTTCAGAATGTCCTTAAAGAGGATGGGACAAGTTATTTATTGTACTAACCCAGCTGACGCAGCACTTAAGGCACAACAGACTTAAACAAAGGAGATTTAAGCTAGATGTTAGGAAAAAACATCTAAGCATATAGTAGTTGAGCACTGAGGCAGAGAGTTTGTGCAGGCTGTCAAGCTCCCATCAGTCCAGGTTTGGTGCTGTTCTGTTTACTCTTAACCAAAGAGTAAACCAGTGTCTGTCAGAAATGATTTCAAAATATAGCTGGTGCTACCTTGGGACAAAAGATGAGCTCTTGGAGAAATTCTCACCTAATTCAATCATCCTTTGGTATTTTCAAGCAAGTTGTGTGTGGTAGATGGGGAGTAAGGCACTGTGGAGGTTCACCCACAAGGATGCTCTACCATGGCATTTTGCTTTTCAATACTGATGTAAATTTGCTTCTGCTTCTGGCAGTTTCACTTTATGAAGGTCAGATTATTTCATGGGGATGGGGGGAGGAGGGGATCCTGAATACTGCAAACCAAAGGGAGACTACTGAAACTAGCTTTGCTATCACAAAGTAAAAAAAAGGGTTTGGAAACTGAAGAAGGCAACTTGTGAAGAAGAGTAACTGCATCCTGGTGAGGTTAGTCTCTTGAGACACTCGTCTCAGTCAGTGGGGCAGGATGCTCTGGTGAGGAGAAATTCAGAGCTGGAGTGATCCCTTCACTGTCTGAGAGAAGCCTTGGGAAGTTGGTTTCCCTTGACCACAGATAGGTTTGGTGCATCTCATTCTCTGAAGTCGTTTAAAATGAACTGACACTGACATTCCTTCACAAGGGAGGTGACATTAGTAGGAGAGCACTTTTTGCATCTGCACAGAGAGGCACTTCCAGACTGTGGAACGAGGACAGAGTCCCCAGTGTTGTGGGCACCCAGGCAGAGACAGAGCTTCACCCCAGACAGTTCTTTCTCAGCAGCATGGAGATGTCTTTTCCATAGCTTTTCAGTTTGTTCCACTGGTTACATAGGAAAAACAATGCTAAATATTATTACTTCTGGGAGATTTTGTTTTGTTTTGTTAAAAGAACTTGTTTTGTTTTTACAGCACTTGTCTAAATGGAAACTCTGCCAATGATTTGGGCTGCTGGAGATGTGTAAAGAGAAGCATCACTCCCTGTCTCAGTGGCAGCATTGTTTGTAATACAAGTGACAGATTTCTGCCAGGAGAGATGGAAAAAAAAAAGGCTTCTTCAACACAAGAGACAGGAAAATCTGCTGGATTTGTGTTCCAGCCACTGACTGTGTCCACACAAGGGTTGTGTCACCGCTCCAGCTAAGCACTTTGGACAGTCCTCTGTGCTGGGCAGTAGTCTGAGCACCTGCAGTAGGGACAGCAGTAACCCTGGGACTCAGCTGCTCTGTGCCAGAGCAGTGAAAGCTGGTGACTCTCCAGTCTCTTATCTTCTTTGAGGACATTGTTAGGAGTGAAAGCAGCTGCATTTCAGGAGCATGGAAAGTTCTTGTTGCGTTACCTTACCCTGATGATGACTACTGGATGTGAAGAAAGGCAGCTAAAATGAAGCAAGAAAACTGAAGGACTCTGACAAGTGAGATTTATGACCTTTTCCATGTTTCTCTCTCTACAGTACATCCTTTCATTGTTTGGTCTCACCAGCTGCATGTTATTGTGTACAAAACTAGGTAAAACATTTCGACCCACTCCCCTGAAAATGGGAGTTGTTCTGATGGGATTAAGCACTGAATGTGTTAACATAAGGGAATGTGCCTTTTTTACATGCACTTAATAGCAACATTTTCATTTTTACTGAATATGCCACTGTAAAGGGAACTTCCACTTTTGACAGGACCCATTGTGTACTGTGTGAAAGAACAGGATGTGGAAATCTGACCAATTCAAAATATGCTCTCTGCTATGTTCATGTCAGGTTACCTGGACTTACACTTTCCAGGACAGAGTAATAACTGGTCAAGCTTTGCTCAATTCAACTGAATCTTTATTTAAACACACTCCTGTGGCTTCCAGGAAGGATTTTAAACTGATCCCATTTGTGCCTTCACCTACCCAGCATAACATTAAAAAAAAAAAGTGCAGACTGTATTACTGTGTTGTCCATGAGTGTCCACAAAGCCAAAAACTGCAGTTTCCTTGTGCCAATGCACGTGCATTGCTGTTTCTGCCCTAAGTCAGAACTGAGAGAAACTGGTCAAAAATAGCAAATCAGCAAACTTTGTTGATGATATGGATTTTTGAAGAAGGAGGAATCTATAGTGGATTTCTTGCCCAGGTTGGACAATTCCCCTATCTTGCCATGGGGAGAAGATG